CGGGGGACGGGCTGCTGTACCCCGCCCGCCTGCGGGCGCTGGACCCCGCCACCGGCACCTGCCTGGTGGAGTTCGACGGCTACGGTAACACTGAAGAGCGGGTGCTGGCCGATCTCCTGCCCCCCGGACCTGGACCCTGGGGTGGGAGCAACACCCCAGGGGGCGAGGGTCCCCATGCAGAGTCCCACCAGCTGAGCACCCCCTCGTCGTGGGAGCTGCCCCCAGGTGTGAGGAGGAGGAAGGGCAAGCAGGGGTCCTGCTCCCCCTGGTCCCCTGAAGTAAGTACCTGCCACCCCCCTGGTGTTAGGGCACCCCATGCCCCCCCATCTCTCCCTGAGGGCCTGGGGGTGCTGTTGGCAGGTGATGCCCCCACTGTGGCCCTTGGCCCTACTGCACTCTTTGTGGGAAGAAGAGGAGGAGGAGGATGCCTTGACTGCGATGCTGATGGCCTGGTACATGAGCGGGTACCACACCGGCTTCTACATGGTACAGCAGGGTGCAAGGGGCAAATGGGATGGGTAGGGGAAAGAGAGCCCCCCTCCATGACTCCCCAATCCTCTCTGCCCCAGGGCCTCCAGGAAGGCCGGGTGGAGGCTGCCAAGCTCCCCCTGAGGCAGGGCCACACGTACAAGAAGCTCCTACACAGCTAGGAGGGCAGGTAGGTTTGGGGACACTCTGGTGCTGGGACCTTCCTCCTGTCCCCATGCTCCCTAGCAGGACCCTGCTCTTGCATCACCACCCTGCTGGGGGCGGGGCTCAGGGGTACCTGGGAGGGAACCCATAGGGATACTGCAGACCTGGGGGACCCCATGGAGATGCTGGGGGAGTTGATGTGGCTGTGGGGGACAGGGCTGGGCGGCTGGGATAACCATCATCCCTTCCCTGCTGCTCAACTGTGTCTACTTCCCTCTAGCTGGATCTGCCAGGCATTGCCGTGCTCCTGCCCTCCCCTCGCTTGCAGAGGGGGCAGCTCCCCCCCGGGGGGGTCCTGGTGTAAAAATATAGACGCTTAGCTATAAGAAA